TTAATAATTTGTAGAAAAAAAAATAGTGTTTAGGACATTTTTGGTTATTTATTGAAATTAGGTTTAACATTATATGTACGAATTATTTTTTCTAATCTAATATATATGTATGTAATAAATCTATAAATGACAATAATTAGACATGTACCATTCAATTTTTTTTTTAAAACTTTTGTAAACTATGGCATGGAATAAAAGGCTTTTTTATTTTTATTTTTTATTTTTTTTATTTACACATTTAACGTAATCAATAATCATTATGGTTATTACGGGCGGTCAATAACTGGTTAGTTGGACAAACATTTGCGCAATGCGAAGTTTCAGTTATATTTACCTTTGACCTTTAACAGTTACTTGTTTTCAAAGCCTGTTGATTATTCCGGCATAATGCTTTATAGCTTATGCTTAATATGTATTTTCTTTCGTTTTATACTACTTTAATTTGCATTAGTGAATTTATAGCGATTCGAATTTCTTCAGACATTCTTCTGAGTAAAGATAAAATTATTTGTATAACTCTGGTTTACCAAACTTTAAAATAGAGGTGGAATATTTAATAAGTCGAAAAATAAAAAATGGCAACCAACCTTACTAAGTGAAACGCTAAGATTACATTTAGGTTATACTCCTCGTGTTGAGATGTACTTCCTCGGTAGTATCCCATTACATTGCTTGCCTATCAGCGCTTGACCAAATCATATTAGCAAATTGTAATCTACAAATTAACGTATACAAGCTACTATAACAAAAACTCCCAACCTTCCATCAATACTAAGCATCGCCTAGTGATAAGGTCGAAAACAAGTTTGCGACATCCAGGCGCAAAAATCAATAAAAGACAAAAAACCTCCAAATCGTGGTACGGATTCGAACATGGAACTCGGTAACTCTGTTCTATGTTACCACATGTGTTCTAGTCGTGAAACTATACTTTATTAAGCAATAAACTTGTGCAACAATAAGTGAGTAATAAAATAAATTTTGATTGTCTGTGAAACTTACGGTTGGTATATTTACCATTAGCTATACATCTTAAGAGAATATATAAATACGCGTTCTGGATTATGAATAAAATTTTAGCTAATCCCGTAACGTGTATTCAATTTCCAAATATAAATTTCCAGTGAAATGCACAAGAATTAACACATTATAACAGGCTAAGTTTGTGAATTCATTTAAATATGTTGTACAGGTGAAGAAGTAAGTTAGAGGTTTGCATAGCACTTGCGAGCTAGTGCCAATAGGTAAGTATATTGTAAATCGAAAAATATGTGGAATATAAAAGTAAAAGCTGTTTACAATTATCTTAAACCCGAGATTAATTCTCGCATTATTCAACATTCAACGAAGCGCGATGGTTTCGGATAAAAACAAGTTGTGTATTTGCATATTAACATTTCCGCTTCTGAATTCTGTGAATACGATAATAGATGAAAACACTAACGTGGCCGATTGTCTAGACTTTAAATCTAACCTTTCCGTTGAATTGTAGAACATCGCAGCTTGACGTTTCAAATCATCGCTCATAGTGTTGTCCGACATTTTATCACAATCACAAATCTACACGGGTCACTGTTCAGCGAATATCACCAAAGGATAATGCACTTTATACCTAACGTGATAAAGTTAATTTTGTTACCGAAAGTTGTTTTGCGAGGCCGGCGAATCGGTATATGACGCCCGCGCCTCTCACTCGCGGAGACCGACTGATCACCCACTCACGCGACCAGCACCCCCACTTGCCTGTGTGTTGACATTACCGCAGACGACACGTGAAAATGTTAACGTTTCGAGGGAAGTATAACAATGGGCATGTGGCCCGGTTGTTACTGTTAGACGACCTCGCTGTTTGCTGTTGCTAATGTGTAATGTTCTTAATAACACGACGTTCCAATCGAGATGTTTTGCTAACGGCCATTCATTTGGTGTACGAGTTACCGAGCACATACGACATACAGAGGTTGGATAATTTTTTTTGTCACGTTCAATATAAATTAATCGATCGACGTGATAGAGGTATTAACAAGTTTAAACGTAAACATCTTTATTTACTGTCCACTATTAAACTCCGTGACTATTAGAAATATGGTTTTAATAACCAATACCACTCCTTTAAATCATGTCCGTGTCGCTATTATTCTGTAGAATACTCTTGCTTACAACCAAACCTCACAACAGAATATTACAACATAAAATATTATAGGTAGTATACCTTTACGCTGACTTTTTCACGTTTCTCAAATGACGTAAACTTTCGGGTTTTCCGAATTTTCCTCTGATGCTCATGAAAATAAATAAACATTCTATAAATTGTGCGTAATAATTTTAATATTATGTACATAGAAATAAAAAATTCTAATCTCTCGTGTAATTCATCCAATTACACGATTATTTCGTTACGCAGCGGTACATAGAAATTATTCGCGTCGTATACAAATAACATACCTTGACTGAGGTATGTTTTGCGATAAGCATTCATTGCTCGCAAGCATATGGAGATTTTAGTGCCTATTTCCATTAAGTCGCTTGCCGCGCGACTATATCTCGCGATTTGTACCTAGTGCAAAATAGTAAGCACTTACTTGATACTACCGTTAAAAAAATACTTTAGGTTCTAATTAACCTTCTGTTTATATTAAAAAGTTCGTTAGATCTATGTTATGGTATCTACTAGCGCCATCTATTATCACAGAAACAAACACTTTTTTTCCACAAGGTATAGACATATAGTCGTTTCTCATTAAGCAAAGAAATATTTGTATCGCCAGTTCCAATCCATCTTTTTCAAAATTTATACATGATAAAATATCAATGATATTAAATTAAAACTGTCCTTAAATAGTTTTCGCAACATTGATAAAAATTACCCATTAAATTAATTAATTGCCACAATTTTAATTGTACACATTAATGATTTTATGATTTTTTGCTTGTAAAAAGCTAATATAATGCTCTAGTTAGTCATAAATTATTATAAAACCATAGAGGCCAGAGATATTTTTCTTTTGTTAACACATTCCATGCCAACATAATTTTCTTTCACATGAATGTGAACTTGCTATGTTAGTCGGTGACACTCTGTATTACCATAGTCATCATAGTTAACTATTTTTTTTATTAATTTCTTCCAACTATATCTGATCTCTACATCTTCACTGCAAACTTAGCACTAATGTCTTATAATACTGGATTACTTTGATTTAAGATGACTTTTAAAGCTTTGAATGAAAAATGTGCCTAACAGCTGGTACACTATACCAGTAAAGTAGGCCTATAGCGCTCAAAACCAGCACTAGAATACAACTGGCAATATGTAAACTGGTGCCAGTGAGCTCTTACAGTCATTACCTGCACTACTTTCTAACTGTACTGGCCAAATATAAAGCGGACATAATTACCGGTTTGCACTGAATATGTTAGGAATAGTGCAGTATTATGACAGGAAGCAAGATAAACTTTAACATTTGTCATATTGTCAATGTCTTGAGATATTGTATTAATGATAACTCTGTGTTCATTGTGTCTCAGCTCAACAGCCAGTATTTGATAATCAAACAATACTGTATTTGTACAGTTAGGTGACTAATGTTTTGTTACTAAGTTTTCACTGCCAAAACACATACAAAAACTCTTATCTCCAGCTTTGCAAAGAGTTTAAAAGTGATCACAATTGTTTTGTGCAGTATTTTATTGGTTTTGGAAATTATCACATATGAAGATAATGCTTTTTATGAAATAATTAACACAATATAGCATTAACGAAGAGAAACGAGGCATAAGTTAACAGCTCAAGAATCAAATGATTGATTTAAACATTATTTTAATGACTTATTTGGGAGTACAAAATAGATTGGTTGTCGACATAGAGGTTTCTCGTTTAACATTAAATTTTACTGTAGTATAATTTAAAAAAAAATTAAAGCAATACGTTTAAAATTTGGCTTTAAAGACTGGGTATCAAATTATTTGGTACTTACTTCGTGTTAGTAAATAGCGAGAAATATGACATGAGAGGAAAATATTTTGCAGTCGACTTCGTAATGTTTTTATTTTTAAATGAGAAAATGCGTGTTAAATACATACCTTATGTTAGAACTTAATGGAATGTAACTATAACTGTAATGTTTATTTTTCTTCATATTGACCGTGTTAATTCATTTTGGTAATTCTAATGAACGTATTAAAATCAAAGCACAAGAAACTTTTATTAAATAATTTTTATTACTAATTATTTCACTATTAATTTTTTTTTGATTTCACTTTACATTTACGATAATATTTGTTTCGTTTGTTTTTATTTGTCACTGTCAAAAATTGGCGCCCTTGACAGAAGGTTGACATTTCCGAGTATGTTTGTAAATCTAAAAAGGTTCTGTTTGGTACAGTTATTGGTTATTAAAAATGACTTACATGGAGAGAAATGGGTAAAAAAATCGGACGGAAATTTAAGATCAAGGTGACAAGGTCCAAGAGTGTTTCTAAAGAATAGCTTTACTGTTTAAAAGTATTCTACATGGAGGAAATTCATTATTTTAGCGTTTTTTTAAGATATTTTTCATTCATTAGCATTAATTTGACATATGATATGTAAATCTAAATTGTAATCGTGTTCAATGTGGAGAAACCGCAAGCTCAAGTAATTTGTTAGCAGCGTCTCGAAGGAATTCGGCGTTTTCCGTTATTGCGAAGAAGGGAAGTAAAATTGATTGGTGTTATAGAAACATTGATACCGGCAATCGTCATTCGTTCGAGGCGAAATAGCATGTTTCAAAAATGTTACAAAAGTTGGGTACCAAAAAGAATTGAAATATATTAAAATAACCATTAAAAACAATAGGTTAGTCAAATGTGCTTCTAAATTAATATACACCGTAATTAGCTGTTTTCTTATTATATTATATTATAAATATATAGTTTAAATCAAATATAAGTACCTATAAATAAAAAATAAAAAAAACTGAAGGTTTCGTTGACACACAAGTGACCTACTTTTTGGTTGTGTGATAAAGTATAAAGAAATTGCTTACTATGTTTTTTTTTTAGGATTCATTAACATATTTTTGTGCAAAGGGTCCATGAGGAATAAGAGTAAAGGAAAGTTACTTTAATAGTAAATATAATTTTTAAAATACGACAATGATAATACTGTTGACTTCGTTTGCTTTTGCCCAAAAGAACAAGGTTCTCAGTTAGTCTCTTTTTCTTAATTTGTGTTACCGCATATCTTAGGCTCTGGTAGACCAAATTTATTTACTAAAAATCCATTCTCGGTACTCCCATGACGTCCCAACCTTTGTAGGTACAAATTATTTTCGCAAGTCAAATAGTTTTGATTATTTATAAATCAGCCAGACACTCGTTAAAAAGATTTTTTAAAACTTATATTAGAAAAATCAATCTTGGGAAGAAAAGCTTTGGATTTTTCTTACAATTTCACTAATACTACAGGGATCCCGAAATAAGATGTCAAATTATTACATTAGGTCAAAAGTCGTTTTCTTAGAATTATATTTTTAGGTTATTGCGTGAATGTCAGCTATTTCCAAGAGTTATCAAGATATTGAAAATAAATTGTAAAGATATTTTTGTATTGAAAGTGTTTACTATGTTACAATTAACTACTTCAAATTAAAACATGTAGTTAGAAGTTGCCCGAGATTCCGTATTACATGTAGTATGATAAAAGAATCGAGATTATTTTTAACTATTCGAATGAAGCTTTAACCCCGAATGTGAAAATGTCCAGTGTAACGGAAAACTATTTAAAAAAATCTACTGAACTAATTTATTTAATATCCAAAAATATAGCTTTACTAAAAAAAATCAGTATTTTTTGCTACAAAAATCTTAGTGGAATTAAGGATTAAGGAGTTTCTATAGGTCCAAAGCCATTTTGTATCTCATAATGTAATCTTTGGTATAATTAATCAGTGTAAAGATCGTTGAAGTGTGGAAGGGGAGAGGACATTGATGTGTTAGATGGATGACCTCATAATTACTGCGAGATTGTCCGGGGGATAGCTTGCAAGTCAACGAACCGATAAAAGTAATATTCACAAGCTTTATGAAGCAATTAAATGAAACCTTTATTAAAAAATCGTGACTTGTACAAATCTAGTCCTACTGTGAATTGAAATATGAACATGCATTAGTTCTTCTTCTTCTTTGTCGCTTTAGTCTTTGCAGACTCGTCGTGGTTATCACGTATCAGTGACCCGCTTCACAAGACGCCGCCACTCCTCCCTGTACGCTGCTTTTTTCGCACATTGATGCAAAGGTACGTACATAGCCGTTCTAATCTGGTCAGTCCATCTCATAGGCGATCTTTCTCTAGGTCTGGTGCCCACCACCTTACCCTGTACTACCAAGCGTTCTATGGAATCGTCATTACGTCAACTACTGATCATCAAACACCAACCTTATGGCACTTGTATCAGTTCTCATTTGGCTGCTTTTAATTTTATACTCTATACAAAATTACAGATTTCACAATACAAGTTAATTAAATAAGCGTCTAAATTTGTTTGGAACAGTTAATAGAATCGGCTTACAATAATTTTATCCGCAGACCAGTTACGAACAATGTTAATTGAAACAAACAGTTGTTTTGCTAAATAACTAGCGATCATAAACAAAAGTCGGTGCAAACTTCACCGTGAGGCTCGCGTCAGTGGAACATAGTACAAGTTATATCTGAAGGAATCCGCAGTGACCGAGCCGCAAGCTACAAACTTAAGCAATAAGGAATGCCCCAGCGAATTAATTACTTCAAAACTTTGTTTATCGAATGTCTACTTGTATTTAAAGATTTTAAACCAATCAAAACTGACTTTTTAAA